CTGATTCATACAGTACATTTCTAATGGCTTGGCCACTTACAAACACCTCAAGTGTAGCAAGCTCATTTCAGCATGCAGACTCATTTGTAATAATAATGCAGTTACAGTGCGATCTCGCAAAGCCTGTTATCCCATAAAAGGGTCTTTTATCTGGTTGGCTATCCTTATATGGCCTGTATGACATTTAACAACATCACCAGTTTCTTGACACATTAACCACAAACGATTAATAACACTTCTGTTCGTGTGGAGACCTCTGCATTATTGGCAATGGCAAAACTAAATAAAAATCTACATACATACACATCAAACATCAAGTACCAATAAAAAAATATTATTTTTCATCTTTTATTCTAAATTTTTTATAGCAATTCTTATTAGCATTACCGTCCAAGTTGGTACAATAATTGATAAAATAACAAAAAATATTAAAAACATAAATTTATTGTAATATTTGCAGCTAACATTGATTTAAAGCTATTAATATAGGTGTCCCCTTTGATACCTTGTCTTACGCTGTTGTGTGGAAAATTTTAGAGCTAAGAAACATCCCGCAAAAAATAATTTCTATTATAAAGTCACTATATACTGATGCGAAATGCAGCGTGACACACAATGGGATCAACAGTTACGAATTCGACGTACGTACTGGAGTTAGACAGGGATGCGTGCTTTTTCCGTTTCTTTTCAACATAGATATAGACTATGTTCTCTCCAAACTAGACTCCGACACAAGAGGGATACAATGGACGCTAACCAAACGCCTAAGCGATCTAGAATACGCGGACTATATCTGCCTATTAGGTCAAAGGTTCCAAGATCTGGGTTACCAATTGGAAATACTTTCCACTGAAGCCAATAAAATAGATTTGAAAATCAATATTAGTAAAACCAAGTCCATAAGAATAAATGTAAGGAACAACACGCTAGTTACTATCGACAATATGCAAAATGAATATTCCGAGCAAATGTCATGTCTGTTCTACTCTACGGATGTGAAACCTGGAAAGTGACAAACACCCTCACAGACAAACTGCAGGTCTTTGTTAACAAACGTCTACGAAGAATTGTTCGTATATTCTGGCCTAACACCATCAGAAACGAAAATCTGCTACACCTGACCGAACAAAAGAGGGTACAAAATTAAATTAAGTCAGAAAGTGGGGTTGGATCGGTCACATATTCCGGAAAAAATAATTCCAGTATCACAAAGACTGCCCTAGAGTGGAATTCCTAAGAAAAAGAAAAAGAGGTCGCCCAGTACAAACTTGGAGAAGATCCATCATGGACGAGATACGAGGCCAAGAAAAGTCTTGGAAGAGCCTTAGCGTAAAATAGAACCCGATGGCGCGTTTTCACTGAAGCTCTATGCTTCACTTAGGAGTTCAAGAACCTTATATAACATAGGTGTCCCCTAGATTTTTTTAGTTTGCCATTAGTTTCTCCTAGGCAAAATTAAAGACACTGTTAACAGCAAACCAGACTCATTGTGTAAAATCTAGACTTTCTTGGTTAGTAGAAGATTGATCCCAAAGAAGTTTTAGTTAAAAACTAAAATTTGACGTAAGTGTTGATGATTATTGCAAACGAGTTATTCGCACTAAGCATGAGGCTTCTCACAACGAATGTTTGAATCGAACTGTAAAATTTACTAATAAGTGATGATTTGGGGTTTAATGATAGTTTTAGTGTTAGGGTCAGGGTTAGGTTAAGCAGAACTGTACACATCAAATTCTTCTTCTTTTTCTTCTTTCTTTTTATAAGCAATTCTGATTGTTCATTTGCGGATTAATACCTGTATGGAAAATTGTCAATCCGTCTGTTGTTGTGACTTATCTCTTGCTAATTTGTCGACACGGATCTCCTTTATTCTGCTCTTATGGTTATTCCATTCTTTTTTTCTCTTTTGTATCCATTTATTTATATACTGTACGTTACATTTTCTTCTAATGTGTTTAGTTGTCAGTACTCCCATCTCTGTCATTTCCAGTAGCCTTTCCGTTGTGGGTGTGTCGGTTCTTTTTTCTAGGAATATGTCATTATTTGTTTTACACTGGCTTAATAAATTCTTAATTTCATCTTAGTGTTAATGCATCTTTTTCGCTATATAGTGTTATTAAGGCATCCTTCCACTCTATTTGCTTTTTGAACTTGATCTCTCACTTCTTTGACCAAGTCTCCATAGCTAGACAGTGTAATTTTCAGATGTTTTATTTCCACTACTTGTTCAATACTAATGCCACCAAATTAATTACTGAAAATTAATCATCAATAATTACAAACTTTTTTCGCAAATATAGATATAACCGTAGCAGTATGTATCAATTGAAAAGACTCCTTGTTCCAGCATCTATTTTAAAATTTATTTCTATTTACCTGATGTAAATTTTCAGACAATCTTTACAAATTTTAGTCAAGGCATATTTAAATAAAAAAACGATCCTCTAGTATCTTTCAAACTTAACTAGAAATTGTCTTGTGGCACACCCTCCGATATAACTTACTTAATACTCTCGTTTCAAGGAGAAAAAGCTTGTAAATTATTACTTGTCATTTCGGTGCGACGTCTAAGACGATTGTGGTAAATTCGGACGATTGTTGTGAAAAATTACGAAACGTCGAGTTTTTCTCTGGCTTCTCTTTCTTCGGTGTGTAACGTATAAAGTTAGTAATATAGTAATGTAGCGGCCTACAAGTCGTAACAAGGAAACGAGTCTACACTTTACGTTATAAAAAAGATCAAATTTTTGAAGACGTATTTATTACAAAATATTAGAATAAAATACAGTTATTAGTTAATAATAAAATATTAGTTAAATAAAATTGATTGTGAGTAAGTCTTATTTATTATTTCTTTACCTATTTAAAAAAAAATTATTAAAATTACCAAAGAGAACTATAGCCTTATCTCAAATATAACCAAACAACTATATGGATTTCCACACTATTTTATTATTTTGAAAAGTTATTATGGCTCCCTGCATTTCTCTCGACATCTTATAGCCGCGAAGCAATTTCTAGCGACTTCCTATTAGAAGTTAAGCGACTTAACTGGATCAGAATTCACATTTTGCAAGGAATTTGCCGGACATTTTTGTCTCTTTACGTTTATTTAATGGGCAAAGTACCCTAAGTAAAGTGTCATACAGCTATGTGTATCCTTTACTGCAGTAAAAATGAATCACTCTCTTGGGACGCTGCGCTGAATAAGATTAAATATAAACCTAACATCTTCAATGAAAAAGTAAAAGAATCTACGCATTTGGGTCATTGAAAATCATCATTTTATATAATATATAAATCCATTTTCTTGTAATATATTAACTGCAATGAATATTTTATAAACCGTTTTAAATTGATGTTGTTATTTTACTTTTTGATCGTTCAGAAATGAAACTTTTAATAAGACAAAATCTCAAGTGAAATAACACTCAATTGTGCAGTATCTAATTTTATAATCACTGCACGTCTCTTAAAAAATGACCTATAAATTATAGATCATTTATAACATTAGCTGTTTCCAAAATAAGTTTTCCACAGTCGTAACTTTTTCCATCACGTCCTTCGTCCTTTCCGGCGATATGCTGCTGCGATCATTAAAATAACAAAAGGGATGCAAATGACACATAAGACGAAAAAATGAGAAGCAAAATAGGAAGCTTTTAAACGCTTTTCCAGAAAGCTTAAAAGCGAGAATGAGTTTTAAATTACGAGCTAGGAAAGAGAAATCACTCTTTCCGACATCCAAAACAAATCAATTAAACTCTAATAAATGTAGCGGAATGGCTTTGTGTACTATTTTTGTTGTACACTTGGAAAAGTTGTTTGTAAAAAGTTTTAAATTTATTTTTTAACACTGTAACAATTCTAATTGAGTTATTTGTATAGTTACAAATGTATATATTACTTGGGTTAATATATAGATTTTTGTTACCTTTGCGTATTTAGGCTCTAGCTAATGAATACGCCCTTCAGTTTCTCTGGAATTCAAGTTCAGTTGTGGAAAATATCGCGTTCTGACAGGAATTTTTCACTCGCCGGTATTCGACACTTTATACGAACTATCTCCCGGCAATCAAAACAATCGCGCGTTTCACCGTATTAAAGTCGCCTTTAGTACTGACCCCTAGCGCTGGCTGGACACTACTCGTCCCGCGCGCTCTGGCTAACTTCGTTCGGTTTTTATCAATGCCTATTCTCAAATGCCGGTTGTAGTGCCAAGGTCGACTTTTTGCTGAGTCCTCGTGATTTAAACCAGGTCGGCGCTGGTGATATTTTCCAGAGTAGGTCTACGTTTATTAAAACGTGACTATTTTCTTTTTGAACAATTGTTGCAACTGATATTGGCTCGTGTAATGCAACTAACTGATTATTATTCTCCCTTATGCTACTAGCCCTTATTTTTTCTATTCTTTATTTTCTTGCCATGTTTATATTACAGTTCGCATAATATTGATTGGTATGTTTCTGTTATACAGTAAGTGTAAGACGTCTTCGACTTGGATCCGATCGAAAGCCTTTGTCAGGCCTATAAAACATAGATATGCTGGTTTAGTATACTCGATGGCCTTTTCTGATTTGTCTCGGTACAAATATGGCGTCTACGTAGGATTTCCCGGATCTGAATCCTTGTTGTTCATCTGATAAAATTTTTAGTTTATTGATTTTGTTGGAGAAATTGTAATTTGTAATGAAGAGTTGTATTTTTTTTTAAGAACCAGCTGTACAAATAGACGTTTATAAAAACATTAATAGTATATTTATTATCCAATTTTTTTGCGATTTAAACTAACAAAATCTTTTTTTTTTCAGATAAAATTCCAACCAGCGTAAACACCTATGAGTAAATCCGCACCACAACACCATTCCGTTTCAGACATTCTTCAATATTTCACAATACCAAGAATACAACCCTCTTAGCCATCTAGTCACCTCTAGTAATCCTAGACACCTCTGTAATCATTTAAAACTCGCTTAAATTCGCGTCCTCTTTCGTCGCCATGCATTTAACGTATCTGTGGATCATTACCGTCGCGTCGTGTATTGCACAGGCCGAGTCCAAGATACAAGACACGCCGACGATATACCACAACCAGTTCGCAGTTTACATACCAGATGGACACGCCGTCGCTGATACTATAGCTGCCAAATATGGATTCACTAATGCTGGACAGGTGAGTTATGTTTCCATCATTGTTAAACTATCTATTTATCGTTGAATCAGTCGAAGCTGAAGCTTGTAATTAATTGTTAATCTTATCTATGATGTACTAATTAATTTTGGATGATGTAGTACATAATTAATAAATATTATTAATCCTCTAACAATCAAAACTCTCAACGTGAAAAGAAATGAATGGCAATTTTTTTTTAGTATAATTAGCATGTAACAACCCTAAAAAATTATCCAGAGGTAGCTTGCTCGTTTCCAAATATGTCAGGTAGACAAAATGCAAAACAGTAAAACAGTGCCTCAGGGCACGCATCACAGTTTTGAATATAAGAGCACTTATCAATAAATGTTGTTTATTAAGGGATAAAAGAATATAATAAGTGGAGGAAGATAAATGAAAAAAGATAAATGAAATGAATTATTTGTTAGTATAGTAATCAAAAAAACAGTTTTTGGCGTTGGAACAGCATAAATAGAGATCGCATTTTGAGTAAACACACTGCGTTTGTGACTTCTTGCACAACTTGTACCATCTCTTTCCACCTTCTATGTCAAGCCAGATTGAAAAATGGTCTTAACCGTCCTAACGCATGTCAGGAAGTGGATATTTTGGCCATCGCTCGAGCTGCCTTGCTATGGACCTACGGATGTTAATGGTCGCGATGTTGATGGTTTTGGACGACCAACGGGCCGTTTTTCTTGGTAGGCTACCAAAGAAGCGGCAACGGCTTCACGAAATTGTGGTAATTGCAATACCCGTTCTTTAGCCGAGACATTACTTGAGTCCTTGACCTTTTCCGTGGTTTGGACGTGACCGGCACCAAATAGTTAAAGTGAAAAATAACTTCAAAATTTTATTGTCTGATCCGATTATTAATAAGAATGGAGTACCGCAGGTCTCCATATTGGGCCCTATATTATTCATTTTGTATATTAATGAATTACCACATGTAATGCCTGATGCATTTGTATCAGTTTATGCGGATGACTCAACAATGCTATATCGCGATAAACACATAAATTTTTTACAAGATAAAATCGACAATAAGTTACGGTATAACTATCTGGGGTGGTTCTTCTAGTGTAAAGGACGTTTTCAAGGACCAAAAGCGTATTGTCAGATGTATAGCAGGTGTTCCGTATGGTTGGTCTTGTAAAAAACTATTTAGAGATTTGAATATATTAACAGTGTATGGAATTTACATTTTGGAATTATTGATACTAATTCATAAAAATAAAAGTACTTTTTTATGTAACAGTGATATTCACTCACACAACATAAGAAATAAGAGACAGTTTGTAGTACCCTATCGACATTTAGAAATAAGCAGGAAGTCATCTACTATTTGTGGTTTACTACTGTATAATCAACTTCCTCAAAATTTTGAAAACATTAATTCAACTACAGCTTTTAAAAACCAAGTCAAAGAGTACCTAGTGACCATGTGTCCTTATACATTAGGTGAATATTACGAGGGTGTATCTGTGAATGTCTAAGCTGCAACATAACCAAATTTATTATTATTTTAATTATATGTCTATATTGCACGTTTTTTAAGTATTTTAATGTTTTAAATATTTTTAATGTATTGTTTCCATTTTCGTAATATTTAATATTTAAAATTTTAGTTTTGACTTGCTGTAAACCTAGTTGTAACTTACAGTCAAATAAACTATCTATCTATCTATCTAAACTGTCACAAGTGCTCTGAAGCACGCTTTCCTTTTTCTGATTTTACACAACTTTATAATTTTATTTTTTACTTCTTCTTATATCACGTTAAAAGAGTGAATTCTTACCATTTCAACGTTATAATTCACGAGGAGATCCAATACAAAAAACTATTAATTTAATTTTTGAAAATTGGACTGTAGCAAGAAATAATTTTTGATCTTTACAACTTTACAATCTTTACTACGAAACTTCTCACTAAACTATTCCGGCAAACGAAACCAAACGGTAAAATAATCTTGCTTACGATCCAAGATAACAATGAAGATACTGTCTTTAGGCACTGTTAGCAGTGTTGGAAATAAATATTATTGCGTGTAATAACCATTGACTTTTGTACAGTAGAGGGTTAAAACAAGATCCTAAAGTTCCATTATTTTATTGTTACAGGATTCTCTTGTCGAAACAATGCCTTTAGGATATCAATATTTAATTTTTTTGTAGAGAAATTCTAACATAAAAGCCAACCTCCGTAATGTCACTTCTTGCCTTTATTTCCAACACGCCCCCGACTGTCGATAAGAATCTTTTGTTCCCGTCGCAGGTCGAGGAAAAGCTTTCGACACACAAAAGTCGTGATGAATTAGAAGGTGTGATATAAAGCGTGACTACAAATTATTTTACGCAGTAACAATATGCAACGATAAATCTCCCGTTGAATTATCAGCGGAAAAAACTATTTGCCGTGCAAAAGGACCCTTGTCACCTTATCATGAGACCCTTTAACCAGAAATGGCTGCCCTAAATTTAAGCACACAGAAAATTCCTTTTTGTAATTTCCCTCCAGAGGACACTTCGTCGGAAAATATATCGTTCCAGATCCCGATAACGTACTAGCTTAAGTTGCCGGTTGGTTAAATTATTTTCAAATTATACCAAAATTAAGGCCAATTAATGGTGTAAGTGATTACAATACTTCCTTTAGCTGAAATTTATTGAGTCGGAATTTAATGTTTTGGCGAAAATTAAAAAGTATTTAAGATACCGTCGGCATATGAATTACGCTATATATAAACTATACTACATTTGGAAAAAAAATGCCTAAACACTTCTTTATCGTTCTTTTAGTTATCGTGTCAATAAATTTTTATTCAAAATAAAATAAATTTATGTTCCAAATAAATGAAATTTTTTTTTAAACATAGGTTTTAGTATTCAAGAAAAATCATGAATGTATATACATTCTGGTTGGCGCCTAATCTCCATTTCTATTAGGTACCACTATATCCGTGCCAGTATCCGTACCCAATAACATACATATAAGAAAAATCCACACAAATTGTCTAAAGAGAATATCCACTTGAAACGTTAGGGCTATGGTTATCAGGAAAAATTCAACACGCAATCAAAGAAATGGAACGCATGCAAATACCAATACTCCGCACAAGCGAAATGAGGTGGCCTGACTCAAGTTATTGTGACATAGATAAATACAGTGCATACTATTCAGGATCAGAAAATTGTACTGAAGCTATTTTCTTGCTATTTTACCTAAATAATGAATTCTATAAACAATATTTTGGTCTAGTAATGGGCTCTAGTTTATCTCCATTCTTAGCCGATATATTTATGGAAGATTTTAAAACAAATATTATTTCTAAACAAAATTTAAAACCCACAGTATGGTGGAGGTATGTAAATGATGTATTCTCAATATGGCCTCATGGATCAGAGTTGTTGGACACATTCCTAAATGATATAAACGATAAAAAAGAGACAATAACATTTACCATGAGAAAGGAATATAATAACACGCTACCTTTCCTGGATGTTTTAATCTCTAAGAACGATACTGGATATGAGACTCAGGTGTACAGAAAACCAACACACACCAATAGATATTTAAATTTCAAATCAAATCACAGTATTAATATAAAAACGGAATAATTAAATCCTTATACGATAGAGTCAAAATTACTTGTTCTAACGAAAATTCATTCTTGAAGGAGAAACATTTGTTAACATCTGTATTATTGAAAAATAATTATCCTTTATCGTTTATAAATCAGGAATTTTCAACAATCGATCGAATAGAACAAAACAACTTAGAACGAGATCCTACAGCATACACAAGCAAAAATATGAGGAAAATAACAATACCGTACATAAAAGGATTATCAGAAAAAAAAAGGATAGGAAATAAATTCAACATTTCAACAACATTCAAACCAACAAACACGTTGAGATCTATTTTGTCCAAAACCAAACCTAACAATGAACAAAAAAGGACAAAGAATTACATTTATAAAATACCTTGTGAATGCGATCAGTTTTATTTAGATAAAACATCAAGGCCATTAAATGTTAGAATAAGTGAACATCAATCTTATATTAAAAATAGAGAAGTTGATAGATCTCAAATATGTAAACACGCTTGGGATAATGAACATAGGGTTCAATGGAATAATTCAAATGTAGTCCTAACAGAAACGGATGGTAAAAAAAAAAGAAAAATCAAAGAAGCGGCTCTAATTATGCTAAATAAGGCCAATTGTGTCGCAAATTCTTCGGCAGAATGTAGTAGGATCTGGTTACCAATATTGAAAGAGGAAGTTATTAATAAGAAAATACCAGTATTAGTAAGTCAGTAACATATAGAGGATACATCATTTATGTTATTTAAATAACGAAACATATAGAATCAGAATTTTGGTGTTTATTGAAGGTAAACTAAATGCACGAACAAATACTTACCATGTCAGGATAGTATTATGAGATTATTGAGTGACTCCGAGGCTACTTCGGGACCTCAGTAGCTTTCTTCTTCGGTGACTTTTCTCGGTCGCTGACACCTCTGACACTGGAGAGTGTCAGGAACTGCAGAATCGGTTGATGATACCATTAGCTGCTGGTGTGGAGCTTTTAGCCGAACTCAGTGGGAGCCTGGGTCATAGGCTCGTGTTTTTCTAGTTGGTCACCATGCCACCATAGGGAGGTTAGGGTCTTCACAGGAAATAACTAGGTTCTAGCAAAAGAGTCTCGGGAGCACAGCCCCGTGAAGGAGGCGCCAAGGACCAGTACGTGGGAAAAAGACCACTATATCCCGTGTCCATTTGTGTTGTTACAAACTATTAAACAAACCTTAAGCAACAGCTACGTCTAATTGCAAGATCTCTTATAAAGCACACGCATTTTACATATTCTAAAAATATTATTATTTTATTGTGACCAAAAGACCTGTATAAAGCTATTAAAAAACTGTCAAAATTAATTTATCTGTATTTATGTTATTATCTAACTTGTTTTCATGAAAGCAATTCACTATTTTT